ATGGGGAGCACGGCATAGGGAATGCAGTTAGCATTAATATGATGGCTAAGTGGAGGGTCAGGGGAGGGAGGGAGCAATTGGGTAATCGTTTTATGAACAATATAGATGTCTAACCAATGTACTGTATACTTGAAACTAATTTAAATAAATAAATTTATTTTTTAAAAAATCTTGTTCTTTTCAAAGAACAAGATAAACTTGACAAACTGAAATGAAATAATACATATAGATATTGAATCATCATGTTGTATACCTGAAACTAATATAATGTATGTCAAGTATACTTTAATAAAAGAAAAAAAAGTAGTGGAGTATGAAGCATCACAGCATAAGCTATGCATACATCTTCTCTGTACCCTTTCCTCCCCTAGCACTTATGTACAGTGTAGTCATTTTTTTTTTTAACTGGTAACGTATACCAATGTACATTAATAGTACTTTCACTGTGTTTTACCATGTATTCTTTGAACGTGGGGATGAAAGGGAAAGGAATAAAATAAGGAGAATCAGGGTAAAAGCTGTTTGATCCTTTATTATCTTCCCCACTCCATGGCCTTGAATGTCTGTTCCAACCCTGGTAAAATTCTGAAGATGTTTTCTGAAAGGGACAAAACAAATAGTCTCTGGACAGGGGGACACAAAAAAGCAGTTGATGGTGGCAAGTACTAAAAACTGAGGGGAATTAAGTGAACATATGCACAATCAATGCTGAATGCAGCAACTCCCACAGTCCTCTCCGCCCCTACCATCTAAACAGTGATGGGAAGACTCTGGCCCTTGGCCGCTGATACTGATATGGGGAAGCTCCTCAACAACAGGGACAAGAAGTTCACCCTACAGTAAGGTCCAAAAGCAATCAGCCTATGCATTTAAAGCTCCCAATTTAAAGCTTTCCTCTCTTAACTTTGAGCAGACAGCTAATTATCACTAACCATCAGAGGAAAAGTCTAACATAAAAGAGATCACAACAGAGAAAATTAACTCTAGGGAAAAAGACAAAGCAGGGCAAAGAAAATTTATTGAAACAATAAAAGAATATTATGAAAGAAACATTCAAAGAATAAAAAAGACCCCCTAGAAACTAAAACATAAGAGTAAAAAAGAAAAATTTAATAGAAGATAAAGAAATTTTCTAGAAGGTAGAGCTAAAAGAAAAAGATGAAAATTAGAGAACTATTCCAGGAGGTCCAACATCAAGAAGCTATCAGTAATCAAGAAAGGACGACATGAGATTTAAGAAACAAAAAATGCCAAATGACTAGGAATATCCCAGAAAAACAGCTGTGTAGTGCACACAAAGGGGCACCTATCCAGACTGAAGCAGTGTAACTCAAGTCATCAGTAAGATCTCTGCTGACATTTACCCTCTTTTCAAAGATAGGGACATAGTGCCCAGGTGAGCCTGGCCCTCAGCTTGTCTTGACTACATGCTGGTGATATTTTTTCTCAAAATACTCAGCTGCCTAATGAGCTCAGAACACGCGTTTCACCCCACAAGTGTACTTAAACCTACTCCTGACAGCTGTAGGTAGGTCACAGTTAAATTTAAGAGAAACCACAGAGCTGCTCACTTCCTCTGACCATATTTGTGCCAAATGTCCAAGACCTAGACTGCCCAATACAATTTCCAAGACTAAGTTTTGACTTCGCCCATGATTTCTACAGAAGAAACTCTGTGAACTTCAGGAAACTAAAGCAAGTCCAGCCCATATATCCTTGGGGGTCCCTGACACCCTTTTAAGAGTCCAAGAGGTACAACTATGTACTTAATAATGCTTTAAGAATGTCCTTGATAAAAACATAAAACTTTTAGTTTTAGTAACTCCCAACCCTTCGGTACATATCTTTTTATTATTCCATGTGATGAAATGTAAGTATGCATAAAGCATATACTTAAGTAAAATGGTTCAGTGGCCAGTCAGTGGCCTATTAGGAATTGGGCCTCACAGCAAGAGGTGAATTGCAGTTGAGTAAGCGAAGCTTCATCTGTATTTGCAGCGCTCCCCAGCTAACTAGCATCACCGCCTCAGCTCCACCTCAGATCATCAGGCATTAGATTCTCATAGGAGCACCAGTCCCTGGTGCCAAAAAGGTTGGGAACCGCTGCAATGGTTACCTTTAAGAAAGGCACTTGCATGACTGAGTTACAAGCTGAACTAGCCAGTTTTTTTCATGAAAGAATGAATGACAAACTATGTTATTCATGCTTATATATCTGACGGATATTTTCTCAAAATCAAATGAACAACAAAACCTGACTATGCATTGTCAGTGATATAAGTTAAGCTTTCGAGAGAATGTTAAAATTTCAAAAACATAGCTAGAGTAAGCTTGACAGCTCCCCAATATATAAAGATTCGTCCAATGCCAGTGGTGGTATTAACAAATACTAATATAAATGAAATTAACAAATTTTAGAATAAAATGTGTAACATCTGTCCATGTACAAAAGGTCCTAGAGGCCTTAGGTCAGTATCACTGGAACTTGATGGATAAAAATCCCCCAGTTTTATTTTTAGAATGCAAAAAATAATTCTTTTTCAACATATCTACATAACTGTTAACTAATCTAATCATAACAAAATTCCCACCCCACCTTATAGGGACTCCATCGTCTCAGAAACAAATCATTTTACATTCGAAATTCTTTTGTCAAATAGCATTGAGCAGACCATAACTTAATAAACTAAATTCTTATCATGTGTATGTTTTGTAAACAACTAAGGAAAAAAATCAGTATATCTGAAGAAAGAATGGAAGACACAGAATGAGGCTGGTTATAAAATATATAACTGAATCATTTCCATTTTTTCTAAAATTCACATTATAAATATGAAAGTCAATTAATTTAAAAATTCCAAGATTCAAAGGAAAAACTTCTAACTAGCACAGAACATAAACTTTTTCTCATATCAGTGATCAAAAACACACTTTGATTCATATTTCGATTGACTATTGGCCAACTATAACCTTCACAGCAACTCTCACTTTGGTATTCTCTAGAAAATTTAAGCTATACTTAATATAATTTATATTAATTTAATCAGCTCAATAACAAATATGAATGATTAAATTAAATTTAGGTTATGCTTGAGTTAGGTAAGTAGGATGTCAGTCAGAGAAAAAATAAGTTTCCAGTAAAAACCTTTGGAGTTATCATACATTACTCTCGTTTGTCATATGGATATATTCTCTAGTATTTGTCACCAGGTAACTATGATCAACTCCGTTTACTAAACTGAAGCTCCGTTTACTAAATTGGAACCTGAGATCAAGAAATAATCTCAAGAATTAACTTGGTAGAGACTACACATTTATGAATAAAGTACTGACTGCCCTCTTGTGTTCAAACAAAGGATTTCACTAATGAACTACATTTAATGTAAGTACCTTTCAAGGGAAAAAAAAAAGCCAAGGTCCTAAAGAAGCCATTTATGGTCCTTAACAGAGAAATTTTGATCTTGCAAGGTTTTCAAGAAAAGTCTTCTCAAAGCCAAGACAAACAGCTATTAATCTGAGCTATCTGATTACTTGTACAAGTAGCACAAAGTGCTTAATCTCAGTCATCTATGGTAATCAGGCATGAGTAGAATAGAAACTTGGTAACTCTACTTCTTCAAATTACACTGGCAAAAAACAAGATTCAGATTTTCCAATTTGGTAAAACATCACCAAATGCTTGAATCAAAATCTTCCAGCATGCACACTGAGGTTAAACAAGAAAAACTGTCTCTGGTTCCTTTTTTGCTAATGCATATTATAAGTGGGAAGTACTTCCTAACTAGTCTTCCTAGTCTGTAACATGCTTTTTTTAATTGGATTATCCTAGACTACGTCTCTTTTTGAAATTAAGAGTCAATGGAAAAATAGGGTTTAATAAACAGTAACTGACATTTCAGTCAAAAAGGTAGATACTAAACCTTTGTGTATCTAGATTTATAGTCTCTTAACTATGTTGTTAGAGAATTCAAATGTTCTTATTTTAACTTGCCAAATGATTGTTTTATTTGAAGTACTTGACGTTCCAGAGCAGCAGTTCTAAAAGCATGATCTAGGGCCCACTGGGGATCTCTAATAGCAAGGTTAGAATTAGTTTTTATAATAATACAAAGAATACAAATACAAAAAATTTTTCCTTTTTCACTCTTTATATTCCAATTGTACAATTTTCTAGAGACTACGTTGCATGTGATAAAGAGACTGAATGCAGAAGCAGATATGTGAATCCAGCTGCCTTCTATTACACCAGACATTAAAAAGATTGGCAAAAATGTAAAACAATGCCACTCTTCTAATTTTTTTTGTTTATTTTGGGAGTTATTTTCATTAAAAATGTTATTTATATAATATACAATGGGTTTATTGTTATTTTTAAATAAATTAATATTTTCAAAATTTCTCAGTTTTAACTTGTAATATTGCAAATACAAACAAAGCTCTCGGGAGCCCCTGATTATATTTAAGAGTATAAAAGGAACCTGAGGTCAAAAGTTTGAGAACCACTAATCCAGAGAGTAGCATACTGAACATGAAAAAAATTAATTTACTCTCAAAGCTTTAATGGAGGTGAGGATAAAATATAAATATCATTTACTAAGAAAATGTAGATGATACTCACCAAATGGATCTTCCATGCCACTTTTAACCACTTTAGGGAGGTGAGGTATAGTTTCTAAAAAGAGAAAAGGATAAAATATACATTTAAACATGAAATCCATCACCTTTTGTTTTTAGAAATTCAGTTTAAAACTGGAACATTATAGAAATGTATAACTTATTAAGAGAACACTGCCAACTGGGGTTTATTTTAAGGGGACTGATTACAGATTTGTAATATAGAAATATCATTAAATATTTAAGGATAATTTTAATTTTTTTCATTTTAAAATATGTCATTTAGAGTTTCCTCAAATAAGTTCCCTTCCTAATTCCGTCTTGAATTTACTAGTGTATAAGGAAAAAGGCAAATTTCTATGTTAAAAAACAAAAACAAAGAACACACCCCCTATCACCACCAAACTCACATAAACACCTGAGAAAGGATATGAGAATATCTTAGAAGGAACTGGTTTGCCTAAAGAAAGAAGTAGTTATTTTAAATACAGGAGTCTGGTTTAGTAAGTTGTAAGTTTAGAACTCCCAAATATGAAAATTAAAAAATATATCTTGAAAGAAATTTAACTAAGTGTAGATATCCAACCTCCCTCATCCTTGATCAAGACAGGATCAAATTTGCTCACTCTTGCTTCCTATCTTTTTCATGGTTTTGATTCCAAGGGCATCCCCTAATAAACAGTCTGAATACTAAACAGAGTCTGCTTTTCAGAGAACACAATTTACTAACAGTTGGTGCCACGTGTGATATAAGAAAACAGGGAGTATGATGTGGTTTTGGAGTTGAATTGGTCACAGACTAAATGGCAGTGAGGACCCCAACACTGGTGGTAGATGTAACACAAATAATACCTGGCACAAGGTGCTGGTAAATAGTGATGGTCTATCTGTGGAAGCGAATGCTATAGTTGATTAGATGTTATCAGACACTTGAAGAGTTAAGGGGAAAACAACGACAATGGAATTAAATGGCTATTATTAAACTCCGTAAGATAACAAAAAGCTAAGAGTGATTATCAGTCAACTGAAAGTCAAACATGAAAGTCACAGGGCCTCCTAGGTAACACAGAAAGAGGCTCTTTTCTGTGGTAGCAGGACAGAAAAAGCTGAAGACCAGACCCAGGAGTTAACCACCACAGTAGCTCAGTTTCAAGCATTAACTCTCAGCCAAAGAAAGTATGCTGTACAGGTGTCAGGGCCCTGATCTGAGAAAGAATAAGACATGAGATGGAGACAACCTGAGTTGAAACCTCTCCAGAGTCTACAGCCATGCTGCCCTGAACAAGCCCGATCCCATCTGATCTCGGAAGCTAAGCAGGGTTGGGCCTAGTTGGTACTTGGATAGGAAACCAACTAGGAAGACCAGGTGCTGTAGGCGTAAAAAATAAAGAATAAGGGATTGTAAGCTGACAAGGTCCTTGCAATCTGTGAGATCAACCAAGGGTTGCCTCGCCTTAAAAAAAAAAAAAAACCCTCCAGAATCTCAAATACCCAAATACCCTTAGCCACCTGAGACTACAAAAGTAGCCCACCCTCCCTACAAAAGCACTCTCCTCTCACTTGAAGATAACGCAGAGGCCACCCCAACCTGCTCAGTAAAACAAACAGTGTTGCCTCAGGATCTGCCACCTCCATGCCTCCTGGCTATCAGGCCTTTCACTTCTAGTAGGTCACAGCATAACTGGACCCAGCGTGCTGTGCCTGATAAGGTCAGAAAAGAACTACAACCTGAGGAAGCTGCAAGACTTAGCGAGTACTGGCAGGGTCCAGGAGAGTAAAAATGTGACTGGATTCTGAGGGTGCCTGAACATGAGGACCAGAACAGAAGATTCAAAAGGAAAAGTAACTGATCATTCTCCAGAGATACAAGATTTAACACCCTGGCAAAAAACTCAGGATATGGTGTGAATTTACCACTAGGATGGTTCCTAAAAGCTGGAAAAGTCATGGCCTATGATAAGTAAAGGAGCAATGTCAAAATTGCAGTGGCAGACAGTGAAGAAAGGGATTAAAGGGCTCAGGGAAGTAGGCTTGTTGAAGTGTTCAGGAAAGCCATCAAATGATTATGTTCCTTGGAATGGCCAGAAGGATGTCATAAGGAATGTTCCAGTGAAAGGGGCACCTTAGTGTTCTCCTCCAAAGCAGAGGTTGTTACACATCTAACCTCACTGATGATAGGACCCTGAAACAAAGACCAGTCCTTGGTACTTAACTGTTAGAAGCCAGATGGACATAATTACTACCATAAAGACCAGCAAAGTCAGAGTGACAGTCAAAGGGATCTGACTCAGATTTATGGGGACAGTTAATAAAACAATGTCAGGAGAAGCAAAATGACAAGCACCTAATAAGAGCAGTTCTCCTCTGTTATGTCAACATAAGAACGTCCAAAACCTGTACAAAAATTTTTATAAGGGTTTACTTGAGCCAAAACTGATGACAATGGCCGGCAAGCAAGTTCTCGAATATTTCAGAGAATGACAGTTTGTAGCTTCTTTTACGCATTTGTAATTGAGAAGGAAGGGTTAAGGAAGATTATCTGAAGGTGGGAGAAAGCAAGGCAGGGATTGAATTATAGGATAGTTAACAATATTATGTGCTCTTTTTCAGGGGTCTAGAAAAGGATTACTTCTGGCACTTCAAAAGTGTGTGTTCACCTAGATGCACAAGAACAATGAACAGGGCTGGCTTAAAGCTTTTACTAAAGAAGTTAGAGGCCTAGGGCATGACTACTCATCATGACCTGCCCAGTTAGAATTTATGATCAGATCACCCTGTGAGGTTACTTTCAGTTAGATTTAGTACAGCATCCCTTTTTCGTCCACAGTAACATCCAAAGAAATCAAGGATAGAAGATCAAGACAAGAAGGATGGTCACCCCAATAAATAATCAGAATCCCACACTCAGTTCTGGATCTTAGCCAGTTTCAGATCTGAATGCACTGACTGAAGGCCAGGTACCCAGGAGAAAAGGACCAGTAACACCAAAGCAAGTATAACAATTCCCTAAGAAATCTATGGCTCTAAGAGACCCATATGCTCTCAATCTCAGGGACTCCACACTAAGAAGGTCCCTGCACTTGAAGTTTAATGCTCTGCAGTCTCTGTCTTGAAATTCTTAATTTCATCTATGAATTTGTGTTCTGTAAGTGAAGTTTAATGGGAAAAATGAAAGATGTGCTGGGGGCTTAAAGCCTCAGCTCACACACATGGTCCACCTCCTCCTCTTTTCCTGGGAGGGGGCTCTTGGTCACAACCTCTGGTCCTACCTGGCCATCCTTTCCCTGCCTCGGCTGAGAGTGCCAGGTACTTTTGGTGAGCATTTTCTCTCGCCCACTCTCAAACCATGAGTCCAGGCACGCCAATTATGTACTCGGCCCTGCTTATGGCCATTCATTCACTCAGGTAACCGTAAACTGGAGAAACAGGAACACTAATGTTTTGAGGACAGGTTGACAATGACACCTGGAGTTTGGAAATGTCATCATGACCTTATGAGGACAAGGAAATAAACTGAGTTCTGGTCAAGATCCAGTTCACAATGGGTCCACTGGGTTTGTGGACCTTCCTCGTGATCATTTTCCTGGTCCCTGAATGTATAATTAAAATACATATACTTAGAAATTAGTGCAACCCCCACTTTGAGTCTTTGGCTGGCATGTGAGGTAAGAGTTATGACACTGGGGAAGACCAAGTGGAAGGAAGCCACTAAAAACTGCCCCACTCCACCTGCCAAGATAAGAAATACAAAACAAATCAATATTGCATCCCAGAGTGAGGGAGGAAAGATGACATAAATTAGTGCTACACCCTCGGAGGAAGCAGGATTTACCAGTGTGGTCACTGTAGAAACCAGACAAATACTGGAGGAAGGTAGCAGATTACCACAAGCTCAATCGAATAGTTGCCACAACTGCAGCTGCCAGTTGACCATGGGAGACCAAAGATGCCATCTTTGCTAGGGCAGATTAACACAGCCCCAGCAGCACAGTATGTAGCCAAGGATTGGAGGAATATGTTTTTCCTTTTATCTCTATAAGAAAACAGGACCAAAAATAATTCACATTCACATAGAATAGATTACCGGAAAGTTTACAAGGCTATGTTGATTTTGCCAGCCTTTCACATAATATAGTCCTAAGAGATATGGGCCATCTGGACTTCCTGCAGAATATCACACTGACCCACTATATTAATAACATTGCTAATTGGCCCAGATAAGCAAGAAGTGGATAACACATTGGAGGCCTTGCCAGGACATATGTGCTCCAGAGGGTGAGAGATAAATGCTACAAAGATTCAGATACAAATTACATCAGTAAAATGTTTATAGGCCCAGTAGTCAGGGAGTCAGGGACTTGATAAAACATATTCAAAAAAAAAAAAA